TAGTTACGTAACTATTTTAATAGTTACGTGTATTTTGTTTTTGCTTTGTGTTTGTGTCTTTGCTAATTGTGTGTATTTTGTTGTTGTGAAATAACAATTAACTTAGTAGAATTGACAATTTTGCTGGTTGGGGCCTGTTTGACAATTATTACAGTTGATTTTACTAAGTTTTTTTTTGTGTGTGGAAGTCAAGTGCAACCCGCACCTTTATTAGGTGTAGGATGAAGTCACTTTTGGAAAAGGTAATTGGATACCTACCTTCCTAAATTTACTTATAAATTACTTTTAATCCTAAAAGACCCTTATCTTTAGCTAAAATCAAACTCAAAATGCTACAGAATTGATAGCGACATGATCTGAAAATAGAACAAATGAACTTATTTTTGTATCCATTTTATTTAAAAATGTTGTTGAATTAAGGACAAAATCAACTTGAAAATAGAACGAAATGAACTTAATGTCGGATTTTTAGCTAACACCATTTCGTTCTGATGTTGAGAACATTCATAATCTGTGCACCAGGTGAACTTCACCCATATTCGCAACAAATTGGATGCGGTGAACAGGCTTTTCTTACACTTTATGATGAAAAATGTGTGCCTAACAATATTTTACAGCCATCTAGAGGCGTCTTTTCTCGAATGTTTGAGACAAATACCACTATTGCCATTTCGCAGTATATAAAATACACATTATTCAAAAGTCGGTATGGATCCTAGCTTACCTCATACTCGGCATAACCAAAATTGCGCAGCCAGTCGGTCACATCGTTGATACTCAACTTGAACACTTCAGTACGGGCTTGGGAATCTACGACGGCGGCGCAAAGATTAAAGAGGGAGTCCGGAGTAGCCCTGAAGGGTAACGGGACGTCTTCTTTGTCGTAATCCACATCCAAGGACATGTAGCTCGGATACCGGAAACAAAACTCCTCATCCTGGGGCGGCTCGCAGATATCCAGGCTATCCATACCAGTAACAATACCACTGTCTAGCCGTGAAGACGAAGACGAGGACGTTGAGAACGACTCCATTCGAGTGGAGGTAGCGCACTGTTTCCTTGGCTAAAATAAATTGAGTTGCCCCGCAACGTTTTAGTTGTTTCCCCCTCAAGAGTAAGTGGCGTTCGTGCCTGTTTACATAGTTTGATTACGTTTCTGATGTTTTCCTTTCATTTATTGTAAGCTCTATGGTTTCCAGGAAATAGCTTACAATGTCAGATATCAAATGAAAGCAGAAGTTATATTTTCCATTTAAAAGTTTGGCGCTTTTAACACTTTTATCGTAAACCATTGGAGGTAGAAAATATTTCCTAATCTGTATTAGGTTTTTAATTTTTCAAGTGTAATAAATAGCCTATTCCTTTTAATTAGTTAAATATTATACGAGGCTAGACTTGTTGAAGTAGTAGATACTTTCGTTTTGTAGAGAATAAAAAGTGTCACCAACTACCAAAGGGATTTCCTGTTTCATTTCTTGTAGCTGGATTTGCATATCCGATTTTTTTGGGTCAATTCGTGGGCTTTGTGGTGCTAGGAGGGTTTTGGAGCCAAACCCGCCCGACGGGGTGGGTATTTGCTGCCGGAAAGTATAATCGCGTTTCGCTTCGGAATTTTCACTTTACATTTTCATCTTAAGGATCACTTCGGCTTCAATAGTTTTCGTTTGGGGAATGCAAGTTGATTTGTGGTCTCACCCAGCGCACAAGCAGCTGATAGCGACGATCAGGTGGAGTTCGCGGAGATCGCTCAATTCCAGCCCAATTGGACTCACATTCCTTGAGTGAGAAAGAGAGATGCCGCATCGGCCTTACCAGTATCTGACTCTGACTCCGCCCAGTGGAACGGATCGCTCGCATTGGCCACCAGCCACACGCCATGGCCTCTATTCAAGGGAACCGGAATTCGAGAGGCTGTCTGTGTGGGAGTACGGGAACATATGGAAAAATCGGTAAACAAATCTCTGCAGCGGTTGAGGAAACAATCTCCGCCTGAGCTAATGACACAGCAGCATGCTTGTGTGTAAGCAACCAAACTGTATACCAAGTTTCCCGTCCGTGCTCGATTACAGTGGGCACAAGTCGATGGAAACTGGTACAAAGGAATTATTATTACTACAGTTGAAGTGATACAATAATAATCCGCTCCGTCCGAATGAACGCTGAGATTTCAAAAGCTATAAAAGTTAGAAGGTTCGGATTTCTCATTCATGTTCTGGGGGTCCCTGCGCAGCGCAAGATTGTTACTTACAGTGTCACACCCGTCATAAAGCTGTATTTAATTGACAAACTAAAAATAGTGGTCAAATCCAAGTGTGTCATTTTTAACAGTTGTTTGATTTAAATTTTTCTATTTTAGAAAAAAAAGTGTTATGGAGACACTTTAATTATCAAATAACAACTATTTTTGATCAGTATCACTACTAAGACTACTACTACAAGACATTAAGAAAATCAATTGGTTCAGGAGAAAGAGCGGTGAAAATGTAAGAGTGAAAATTTAGAAATTTGTAGCTATTGGGGCCGATGGGAATAAATGCCCCTGGTATTATTTTAGTAGTGTTCCTATTAAAAATACCCGCCAAATGAGGGGTCTTATGATAAGATCCGATGCTCGCCTTAAAAGTTATTCCAAACGTAAGCTTTAAGAGGGCTTTCCAAAATATACATTTTAAGCCTCTATTTGTGTGTTAGAGTCAAATCGTTGATTAACGTTTTATAGCTTTTCTACAGCTATAAATAGCTAAATTTGGTACACCGGTATCTTGTTTACTATTAAAGCTACACACAAAAAAAAAACTTGGTAAAATCAACTGTAATAATTGTCAAACAGGCCCCAACCAGTTTTCAATTCTACTAAGTAAATAGTCATTTCACAACAACAAAATTCACACAATTAGCGAAGACACAAACCCAAAGCAAAAACAAAATACACGTAACTATTTTAATAGTTACGTAACTATCTTTGTTGGTCAATTTTACCAAGCATATTTTTTTGTGTAGAGACTTGTGCTATACCTCGTTGAAAGGTAGTTTAAAATACTACACTGGTAAAAAAACGCATAGTAAAATCAAATATTTTTTTAGTTGATTTCATTTACTACTTTTCATAGTTAAATCAAATAAATAAATCATTGATTTTAATAAAAAGCATATTTAAACCTTCATTCAAATATAAAAATAATAAAATCGAAGGGAATTATATTTGAAATGATATTACTGATGTTGAAAACCAAAGTCGCAATAGTAGTTTTTAGTATTGTAAATAGTAAGTTATATACATAGTATAATCAATGTTTTTTCTGATCCGATTAAATACTTTCGCAATTTATTTTGAATAAAAAGTTTATTTGACACAATTATTTTGAAAGTCAAGATTCAAATAATATTATATTAAATTTCCATAAAATGTATGAGTGAAAAGTAGCATTTTTAGTTTTAAAAAGTTATATGTGTTATGGATCGTGTTAACTTTACATTTAAGTTGAACTTATCCACTCGCGCGTAACATGGTGCGATGGATCAATGGGTAAGGCATCTACCTCTGACGCGAGGGGACCCCGGTTCGAAACCGTCTGAGGCAGAGTAAGTAAAAAGTTTTTAAGAAGCGTATTTAACATTTCCTTAACATTTATAAGAACAATATTGTATTAAAAAAGTTGTAAGAATTACTAATTACAAAAAAAAAAAAAATAAGTTGTGGTGTCAGCGGGACTTGAACCTGGTACCCCCGAGCACAAAATAGTATCAGAACCTAGCCCTTGACCCCTGAGCCATGCCCATATTATTTCCTATCGAGGCAGAATGCTCTTTTAAGTTCACAGTAATATTTTTGATTGTAATGACAATAAATAACTGCATTTCAAAATTAAAGTAAATACTTTAGGCGCTCACTCGAAAAAAAAACAAATTTGTAAATTATTATTACAAGATTCTGGATAAAAAAAATAGTCAAATCAAATACAAACATCTTTGAATTTACTATAAAAATATTTAAAACATTATTAACTATGCGCCATATACGATTTTACTATTTTCATGTTAGGATCTATTTCGCTGGGAAAAATAATTGAAACAATGGTAAAATAGTGACATTTACCATTTTTTTTTTACCAGTGTATAAGTGCAATTTCAACAAAATTTTTCTAAATACAATAGTTAAACAAGAGAGAACGCTATATTCGGGTTGGTGTCCCGACTATCTAATACCCGTCACTCAGCTAAAGGGAGTGCGAACGTATACAACATTTTTTTGATTGCGCATAACTTTTAATGAATGGTCCGTTTTGAAAAATGTCTTCTACATTTCGATAGGTAAAAATATACACAACAAAACAGACGGACGGAACATAAATTATAGTTAACTTACTATTTTTATACTAAATATACAATTATTTATAGTTATTTCACAGTAATTTATAAGTAATATTTAAAAGGTAGTTGTCCAATTACCTTTTCCAAAAGTGACTTCATCCTACACCTTATAAAGGTGCGGGTTGCCCTTGACTTCCAGGTAGTGTGGAAGTATATTAAAGACTTAAGACAGAAAATAAGTCTTAATGGCTTAGAATCTGACTTGGGCTTGGTCCATGAAGGGCTAGACCCAGTTGGGAATTATAAATATGACATCGCAGAAGATTTCTAAAATTACTGTTGCATACTTTTATACTAAAGAAGTTACGTTAGGGTAACTATTGTTCATATTTAAACAACTATTTAAAATAGTACGCAAAGAAAAAACAAATACACGGACGACTATTTGTATTGTTAAAGTACTATTTTTAATAGTTACTGAACTATCTTATCTATCTGAACTAACTATTGTCGTATAATCCGTATGAAGTAATCATTTTGAGCAGTATTTACTTGTTTTTTTTTTAATTTTTTAGTTCTTTGCCCCACTGTAAACGTTAGGAATACACAATCTCAGCCAGATTAACCTAACACACTATTCCGCGTTGAGTGCCCGAACCGCAATCGATCGTTTAGCGTGCTCCCTGGTCTGTTCCGATCAGTTCTGAGTGGGATGTCTTGGAAGGCGGTTTAATCGGAGGTGCTTTAAATAATATTTCGCGACCGATAAAATCGATTACAAGCGACGGTGTTTGGGACATGATAGTTTTCTTGCGTGAGCCCCACAGATACACCAATATAAGTGAACAATGTTACTACAGGAGAGTGTCGCCAGTATGGAACAGAGTATGCCCGAGAACCTCAGCACTCACATGCACGGCGAGTGTGAAGTGAATTCAACTCTGACGAATTGTCCTGATCTAGCGGAAAGTGATCCAACGACCCAAGAGTCCTGTGCCCCGACTGCCATTGTCACCTCGCCACCCACCATCACGAGCAGCACGAAAGTCAAGTTGAGTTTTAGTGTCGATCGGCTACTGGGCTCCGAGCCCGATGAATCCCTCAAGAGGAACTCTTCGTCGCCTTCGACAAGGTCCTGCTGCGATGGCGGTATATTTTCCTGCTGCGCGTTCCCACATTGCTTCAGCCAAGCGAATGCTGAATCTCGAAAGGTCGGTCATGTTCCGATCCCAGCAAGTACGTCACCCGCTTCAACGCACCCTTACCCCTATTTGGGACTGGATAAACTATATCCTAGCCTGTATATGGATTACAAATCAGTGCTGAGACCGACGCCAATTCGGGCAGCAGAACACGGTAAGTCCGTGGAACGGACAGGATGAATTCCTTCTTGGGGTGCCATGCAAATTCCCGAATCCGCCTCTTCTGTATCGATGTATCAGTACATCTGCCAAAATTTGTATCAGTACTTATGCCAAATGCTTGATCACTTTACCCTTGCACGGTAAATCGTGCAAGGAAACCAAGACTTTTTTAATAGGATACAAATTTTTTTTTTAAAATGATATAAATAATTTATATCAATATATCGGCTTGAAACTTTCCCAAAAGTCTTCTTTCTATTGCAGCTAGTATATAAGTCGGAACCGACCGGATCGGACAACTATATCTTATAGCTTCCATAGGAAGGATAGAAAAAAAAACCTTAAACAAATTTTAGCTTCGGTGTTTTTTGAAATATTATCTTCTGCTCTTGGGATACTATTTTTTAAATATTTCTGAATTTCGAATCGATCGGAAAATTAATGGGAAAGTAATAGAAAATAAATTTTAGCTTATTTGGTTTTTATTGTATTCTCTTCTACTCTAGGACATGACTCTTTTTAAATATTTCCGAATTTTAATTTTAATATTATCAAAATCGGACGACTATATAATATAGCTGCCATAGGAACGATCGAAAATTAATGGCAAATTAAATGGAAACAAATTATAGCTCCGTTGTAGGATATGATTTTTTGTAATATTTCCGATATTCGAATTAAATTTAACAAAAATCGTACGACTAGTACGACTATATTATATAGCTGACATAGGGAAGGATAAAGTAAAATTTTTGCGATTTGTAAGTTATAGGAATGATCAGCAAGGGTATATAAGCTTCGGCTGACCTAAGCTAGCTTTCTTTCTTGTTTTTTAATATTTTCGATATTCCCATAGGGAAGGATAAATTAAAATTTTTGCGATTTGTAAGTTAATAAGAATTATCTGCAAGGGTATATAAGCTTCGGCTGGCCGAAGCTAGCATCCTTTCTTGTTTAAAATGTTTTGGTTTTGTGAATAAATTAATTATACCCGTTACTCGTAGAGTAAAAGGGTATATTGTATTCGTGCAAAAGTATGTAACAGCTAGAAGGAAGCATTTCCTACCCTATAAAGTATATATATTCTTGATCAGGGTCACTAGCCAAGTCGATATAGTCATGTCCGTCTGTCCGTCTGTCTGTCTGTCCGTCCGTATTAACGCTGAGATCTCGGAAACTATAAAAGCTAGAAAATTGACATTTTGCATGCAGATTCTAGGAGTTCCTACGCAGTGCAAGTTTGTTTCAAAAGGGTGCCACGCCCCCTCTAACGCCCACAATCGCTTATATACGATTTTAAATATTATATTATTAAATAATAATATTTTGGAAAAGTAAAAATGCAGTTTTATTGTGTTTATCAATACCTATCGAAATGTAGAAGAAATTTTTTAAATCAGACCATTCGTTAAAAAGTTACGGCGGATCAAAGTTTTTATTTCCATCTCCTTCGCACTTTATCACCTTTAGCTGAGTAACGGGTATCTGATAGTCGGGGCACCCGACTATAGCGTTCTCTCTTGTTTTTAATTTTAAGTTTAATAGAATTGAATACATTTGAATTTTGATTTAAATCGAATGAATGAATGAATGAATGGCATGAATTAAGAAATTTAAACGACATTCCCATTCTAGCCAGTTAACATTTATTTTTTACAAATTGTCGAAAATTTGTTCTTAAAAGAAAGCACAAATAAATGCTGGCAAATTCTAAAAAATAATTAAAAAATTATTTATTCAGTTCGAAAATGAACTAGAAAATTATTTAGTTCATTATACCCTTGCAGAGGGTATTATAATTTCACTCAGATGTTTGCAACGCAGTGAAGGAGACGTTTTCGACCACATAAAGTATATATATTCTTGATCACCATCAATAGACAAGTCCATCTAGCCATGTCCGTCTGTCCGTTTCTATGCAAACTAGTCCCTCAGTTTTAAAGCTATCGCGATAAAACTTTCCCAAAAGTCTTCTTTCTATTGCAGGTAGTATATAAGTCGGAACCGACCGGATCGGACAACTATATCTTATAGCTTCCATAGGAAGGATAGAAAAAAAACCTTAAACAAATTTTAGCTTCGGTGTTTTTTGAAATATTATCTTCTACTCTTGGGATATTATTTTTTAAATATTTCTGAATTTCGAATCGATCGGAAAATTAATGGGCAAGTAATAGGAAATAAATTTTAGCTTATTTGGTTTTTATTGTATTCTCTTCTACTCTAGGACATGACTCTTTTTAAATATTTCCGAATTTTAATTTTAATTTTATCAAAATCGGACGACTATATAATATAGCTGCCATAGGAACGATCGAAAATTAATGGCAAATTAAATGGAAACAAATTATAGCTCCGTTGTAGGATATGATTTTTTGTAATATTTCCGATATTCGAATTAAATTTAACAAAAATCGTACGACTAGTACGACTATATTATATAGCTGACATAGGGAAGGATAAAGTAAAATTTTTGCGATTTGTAAGTTATAGGAATGATCAGCAAGGGTATATAAGCTTCGGCTGACCTAAGCTAGCTTTCTTTCTTGTTTTTTAATATTTTCGATATTCCCATAGGGAAGGATAAATTAAAATTTTTGCGATTTGTAAGTTAATAAGAATTATCTGCAAGGGTATATAAGCTTCGGCTGGCCGAAGCTAGCATCCTTTCTTGTTTAAAATGTTTTGGTTTTGTGAATAAATTAATTATACCCGTTACTCGTAGAGTAAAAGGGTATATTGTATTCGTGCACAAGTATGTAACAGCTAGAAGGAAGCATTTCCTACCCTATAAAGTATATATATTCTTGATCAGGGTCACTAGCCAAGTCGATATAGCCATGTCCGTCTGTCTGTCTGTCCGTCCGTATTAACGCTGAGATCTCGGAAACTATAAAAGCTAGAAAATTGACATTTTGCATGCAGATTCTAGGAGTTCCTACGCAGCGCAAGTTTGTTTCAAAACTTCGGCTGGCCGAAGTTAACTTCCTTTCTGGTTTTAAATAAAATTGAATTAAATAATTCCGAAATTTCATGGTATACACACAAAAAATTTGCTTGGTAAAATTGACCATCAAAGAAAGTTACGTAACTATTAAAATAGTTATAATTGTCAAACAGGCTCCAACCAGCAAAATTGTCAATTCTACTAAGTAAATAGTCATTTCACAACAACAAAATACACACAATTAGCAAAGACACAAACCCAAAGCAAAAACAATATACACGTAACTATTTTAATAGTTACGTAACTATCTTTGTTGGTCAATTTTACCAAGCAAATTTTTTTGTATGTACAATACAATGGAAATTGAATAATTCGTGCATGGCTCTATTCTGTTAACGGTTTTGGTTGGTTGCATTTCAAATCAACCTTCCCAAAACCGACGGTTTCTGTGACAACGGTAGAAATTAAATTTTGGAATTCCTAATTTTGCACACAAAAAAATTTGCTTGGTAAAATTTACCCAAAAAGATAGTTACGTAACTATTAAAATAGTTACGTGTATTTTGTTTTTGCTTTGGGTGTGTGTCTTTGCTAATTGTGTGTATTTGGTTGTTGTGGAATAACTATTTTTAGTAGAATTGACAATTTTGCTGGTTGGAGCCTGTTTGACAATTATTACAGTTGATCTTACCAAGTTTTTTTTTTGTGTGTAGTATACCTACCTTTACCTAATACCAATAATAACACGGGCCAACAGAATTTTTTACCAGGCCAGACACTATTTTATATCGGTAATTGAGTCTTATCTCAACCTATAAATATATTATTAGCTTGAACATCATAGGTTGTCTAGTCAATCTGTGTTACGCATGATAAATACTACATATTATTGTAGGTTATAGAATTTCTATTTGCCCAACTTACTTTCAGCACCTTTAAAAATGATCAAGGATAGTCAAATACTGCGTTTTGTCAATCAAAATGCGTTCCTTTCTGGCAAATATTCAGGATCCTATCAAAACGATCAAAGGAATAGATGAGGAAGTTTCACCATTTACCAATTATAGCATAGGAAAATAACAAAGAAAGACAAGAAATGGAAGTGAGCAAAATTAACATACCAGGAAACACAAATGTGGAATACGGCCTATAAATATCCCGTTCCTATTTGAATTATTAGTTAATCTGTATCCATATTGTGCAATATTCCTGTGGCCAACTGTTCTTTGATTTGGGTTTTGACGAAAACATTTCGTTTGTTGAAATCGACAACAAAATAGTTTCAAATATTTCGGGTATTTGCGTTACTTCCTGCTGTTTTTGTATATCTGGGGACGACGACTTCTTAAAGGCTGCAGGCTGCCAGCGCACTTTGATCTTGTTTATATGGAAATAGTGGGAAACATAATCAATACTTTTTTGTTTTTCGTATAGAAATGGTTCATTGTTTAACAAGCTGCTAGAAATTTATGCATATCGTTAGCCTAGCCTTTCCTCATTCATTTTTGTATACAATCTTATCAAGTGGGTGCTAACAAGCTAAAGGCTGATTGTATAGAAGGTTTCTAATATTGTTAAACATAAAGACTTTTTACTATACCTAATTTGGCATAATTTTATCAGTCCTTAACTAAAGGCCATATTATTTTGCACTTAGGGCATAACTGACCATCAGAAGGTTAGGTAGCACAACGTAACACGGGAAATATTCGCGAAATTTAGATGTTAAGTTCTTAAAATTATTTTTAAAACTATTAAAAAAGTCTTTTCCGGTTCCTGTGACCTAGCTCACGTTTGGATATAAGGTATATGTATTTATACACACAAAAAAAAAACTTGGTAAAATCAACTGTAATAATTGTCAAACAGGCCCCAACCAGCAAAATTGTCAATTCTACTAAGTAAATAGTCATTCCACAACAACAAAATACACACAATTAGCAAAGACACAAACCCAAAGCAAAAACAAAGTAGGGGAGAGTGGGGGAATTTCGTCACAGGCGCAATTTCGTCACCTGCAATATCTCGGAATCCATAAGTCGTAA